AATTGATCATCGATACAAGTATAAAGCAACCTATATTTCGAATATTCACCTTAGAATTATTTTCCTATTTCTCTTTAATTTTAGTTAGTTAGAAACCAGCGTTCTAACTAACCCGAATTATTAAATAATCATAGACCAGCGCGCAAGATTCAATTTAATAATAACTTTACACAATAGAGAAATCGATGAACTAGATAACACAAACACCAACGGTTGTATGCAATCTACTTAAACATTCTTCCTAAGATTTAACAATCACCAAAGAAACAAATTATCAAACCCTAGTTGCTTCACAAGTTAAAGAAATCAAACAATTACATATTTGATATTTAATTTAGCGGTAGATTGTAACGTTTACAAACTAGTAGGCCTCCTAGCAATTAAACATAACATTCGTGGAAATAAGTGAAAAAGAATATTCAAGACTCAAAAACATGAATTAAACTTAGATAAACCATTTAGATCTCACAATATGTGGTTCCGAGGCTTTAATATCATTCGACCAAATGTAAAATTTTAGTTACAATTCATGAATCTATGAGCAAAATAATGAAGAATGAAATTTTGAGGCGTTCTGTACATTGTTCTCCCGTTATAGGGTTTTAAAATATGTATTTATAATTGTTTCTATAGGTAGTTGACTTAAATTCGGAAATCAGAATTTTCGTATCGAGAATGAATTATGCAACCGCATGGTAGTAAGCCATGCGGCCGCATAGAAAATTGAAAGTGAACTCTGAAATTAGCTGAAACACCATTTGCGACCGCATGGAATTTAAGCTACGCGACCCCATGGCTTTAAATAATTTCCACCAGACAACCCTCAATATTTTAAGCATATCTTTTTCTTCTGATATCCGATTGATGGTATTTAAGATGCGTTGGAAAGATAACTCAAAGGGGTACAACTTTGTTTCAGATATCAATTTCCAATTCGATCATTTGCCATGTCAAAAATGGGTCTCAATATGAGGCTGCATAATTTTTTAGACAGTGTGGTGTTGGTTGGTTGTTGGTTAGTTGGTTGAAAAATCCCATGATTTTCTGTAATAGAAATTTACCAATTTTTGTGCATCTGATCGAATTTTAGTGAGAGAAAATCATAGTGAGAATCAAACAGACGGCCGATGGAGAAGGCGATGCCAGTAGATGGTGGAGATAGTAGCGGCATTGCAATAACTAATAACGGGGGTTGATGTTGTTATTCTAATTCTTATGCTGCTCTTAATTATCATCCTTATCCTCATTGCCTGTAAACTCAAACCATGGCGCCGCTTCCTCCCCTCCTCCACCTCTGCCGCCACCAGATTCCGCCACCCCCCTTCGATCAAGGTTGATGACATAGAGAGGCCTCTTGTTTCGGAAGATTATGACGTAGTTGAAAGCCAGATCTGTGAGTCCACTAGTTACTCCATTGAGGGGGGTGGTCGTCGAACTCAGGCGGGATTCATTCCACCCCATTCTAACAGAGTAACACAAAGGCTCCAGTCGACGTCTCCCCAGCTGACACATAGTGATAGCTTTGTTCTTGACATTCCAAATACATCGGAGGATTCTTTTGTTGGTCAGACGCTTAAGCTTCCACTTGCACCAAGTAAGTTAGCCGAAGAGGGGATACGCGAGAAGGAAGGTGTAAAGTATAGCCCAAATCATGTAGATGAGGACATTTCTAGAGAGTTCATTCCAAAATATACTGCAAATCAGAGAAGCATTCTCATGCTGGAGGTAATCTCAGGACCTTCTCGTGGTCTTCATTATTCCATACAATCAACGAATACATCCAGGCTTCCAGTGACTGTTGGAAGAGTTTTTACCTGCTGACATATTGTTGAAGGACGCAGAGGTCTCAGGCAAGCATGCAACGATAAATTGGAATGTAAACAAGTTGAACTGGGAACTGGTTGCGTGGGTAGCTTGAATGGTACACTCTTGAATTCCCAGGCAGTACACAATCCTCAATCGGGAAGCAGACATTGGGGCAATCCAGTCGAGCTCTCAAGTGGAGATATAATAACTTTTGGCACAACTTCAAAGATTCTTGTCCAGATAACTGCTCAAACGGAGGACCAGATCTCTTTTGGGATTGGTATAGCATCAGATCCCATGGCAATGCGCCGGGGAGGAAAAAAGTTGGCCATGGAAGATGTCTACTATTACCAGTGGCCTCTCCCTGGAACCAATCAGTTTGGATTGTTTGGCATATGCGATGGACATGGTGGAGCAGATGCAGCCACATCAGTTAGCAAAATAATGCCGGAAGTGATCACTAGCATCCTGTCGGACTCATTCAGGAGAGAGAAGGTTTTATCTCAGTGTGACGCTTCTGACGTCCTTAGGGAAGCATTTTCTCAAACAGAAGCAAGCATTAATTTTTTTAATTTTTTTTAAAAAATTTTTTGGCCTCAAATTTTT